AAGCCTTCATATGCCAAAATAAAAAGGAAAGGTGATAATGGGTCACCCTGTTTAACCCCCCTTTTAGGCTGAAAGAAACCGTGTGGACTACCATTGATAAGAATAGACAGATGGGTGGCCTTGAGGTTAGATCTAATCAGTGTAATAAAATGCTCAGAGAAACCAAACTTAGATAAAACCTCAAAAAGATAACTCCAAGACAATTTGTCAAAAGCCTTTGCCATGTCCAACTTGATAACAACATTGGAGCCTCTAACATTGTTATCTATAGAATGAATCATTTCTTGGGCTATTAAAATCTGATCAGAAATATCCCTTCCTTGAACAAAGCCAGCTTGTTCCTCAGATATGATTTTAGGTAGAATTCTTCCCAATCTGGTTGCCATCACTTTAGTGCAAATCTTATTGGTAAAATTGGAGAGACAAATAGGCCTGTAATCAGAGAAAGTCTTAGGAATGTCTATTTTAGGAATTAATATAACAAAAGCACTGGCTATGCCTCTTGGAGGAGGTATCCCCATGAAGTACTCTTGTACTGCTTTAGTTACATCTTCTCCTACAATAGACCAGCATTTTTTATAAAACTTCCCTGAAAAACCATCAGGGCCAGGAGCCCCATTCTGATTCAGCTCCCAAACTGCAGCTTTAACTTCCTCTTCCGTAGGCAAAGCAGTTAAGTTGATATTTTCCTCATTGGTAATAACTGCAGGAATGTTGTTCAGGATATCATTGGAAGAGACCACAGGATCCACAGCATAAAGATCAGAGAAAAACCTAACAGCAGCTTCCCTATTGCAGTCCCCCTCCTTCAGCCATCTTACATGTGCCTTTTGCTTCCAGTACTTTCTTTCCAATCTATATTTTGCCAAAAGATAAGCCTTAGTCTGAAACCATTTCTCTCTATTCTCTTCAGAAGGTAAATCTTGAAATCTCTTCTCTGCATTTGCAACCTCCTCTTCACAATATTTAATCTCATCAAAGATATTTCCAAACACCTCTGCATTCCATTGTCTCAGATCCTTCTTCAGCTTCTGAAGTTTGATGACCAACCCCTTCATACCCCCACCTGAAAAACCTTCCCTCCAGCTTTTAGTCACAGTATCAAAGAATGATGAGTGTGAAAGCCACATGTTTTGGAATTTAAAACTTTTGGGACCATTAACAATAACTTTTTTGCATTGAATCACCATAGGGCTATGATCAGAAGGGGGTTGGGCAAGATTTTTAATAAAAATTTGATCAAAAGAATCAATGAATTTTTCATTAAAAAGACACCTATCCAATCTTTTCCAAGATCTTCCATTTGACCTAACTCCTGTCCAAGTAAATTGAGACCCAACAAATGGTAGATCAATAAGTCCACACAAAGAAATACAATCTGTGAAATCAATCATACTAGATTGGTTAGGAATAGCTGGCCCTTTATGTTCTGAATTAGAAGTGATAGCATTAAAATCTCCACCTATCATCCATGGTAGATTGATGGTAGAAACAAGATTACCTAACCCAGACCAAAGCCTTCTCCTCTCCCCTTGGGTGTGCTTTCCATAAACTGCAGTAACCCAACAAGTGAAATTCTCCCAGGAAATTTTAAAATGTGTAAATTGTTCTTCCCAAGTGACCTCAGAGACACTGACTTGATCTTTGTCCCAGAAAATCCAGACTTTATTAATTGAAGAGAAAATTACATCAGAGAAACCTAACTCCCTTTTGAACTGATCAGCTTTAATATGATTAACCAAAGGCTCAATAGCTACAAAAAGACTAATCCTCCACTGAGAAACCAATTTATAGAGTCTTGGACAGGAGGCTTCCAGACCCCTTACATTCCAAATAAGACAATTCATTTGGGAAGAGGAGGATTAGTTTGAGATTGCCTTTTGGCAGCATTCCTTGTAGTCATCCCTGGGGTCTGTGGAATAAACTTCCTCCTTTGTCTACGTTTTCCAACCAATATAAATCCTTCATTCCTCTCCTCACATTGAGAGGTATCCAAAGGCTTAACAATTTCTGCCAGCAGTTCCGAATCACTCCTCACCTTGCATGTAGATATGAACTGTTTAATTTTGTTACCAAGAGAAGGTAAAGCATCTAACCAGTATTGTTTGTCTTCTATTCTTGCAGGGATTTCAGAATCTGAATCATATGCTTTAGCATTTTTCTCCGGGTCGAACTGTGTAACATGATTCAGGGAATGGACTGAGAAGTCATCATATGCCCTGTCCACTCTTGAAGGTATTGTTTTACCATGGATACCTCCTTGTAACAGATGATTAGTAGCTTGCTTACTCAGAGTGTTTTGATTTTTCTTAACAGGCGGGGGGTCGTGATAAACTTCCTCAACATCTGAGTCTGTATGATCAGTGACTGTAGCTTGATGCTCCACAGCTTTGGAAGAAGAAGGGCGGTCAAAAACAACTATTTGTTTTCCTTTGTCAACATCTCCATTCTTATTAATTTCCAGTGCAATCCCATTGTCCCCGCTTACCTTCTTTTGGTGTCTCTCTTGTGAAATGTTCATTTTGCTTACCCACACCTTAGTAGTTTCAACTTTCTTGGCATCATCAGCACTTTTAATAGATGCCTCACTCCGAATAACTACTCCTTGTTTTTTGGGGCACCTACCAGCCTCATGTCCCAAATGAAAACATGAGAGGCAGTAATATGGCCTATTCTCATAAATAATAGACTGAAAGAAACCAGTCTTGCCAGCCTGTATCCAGACCTTCCCAGGCATGTCCTTGGTAAGGTCCAATTCCACACAAATACGAGCTACCCAAGGGCGGGCCAGCGTAGCAGTAGCATAGTCCATCTTTAAAGGTTTTCCAATCAACTCAGCAATCTGAAACAAGGCTCTTTTGTCCTGCAAATGTATAGGAAGACCCTCTAGGGCTAACCAAACTGGAACCACAGGGGATTCCACATTAGGCATAAAGTCAGGAGTCCATTTAGTAACCCTCATAATACTGCCATGAATATCCCACTTCTGCCTATTCCAACAACGAATATAATCATCTTCTAGATCAAATCGGATTAACACATGTTTATTTTCAAGAAGACCTAAATGGAATTTGCCTTTGAATCCAATAATTTCAAACGATTTGCGTAACGTAGCCATAGGAGGGCGACCCTTATAAAAATAGCCTACCAACGAGCGTGAGTGTTGATCTGCCAAGGTAGAGATCTCTTCTTCTGGGAAGGTAAGAGCTGGTACACCTTTAAATCTGGAGTGAGTCTTCACCGATAAAGGAGCATCCAGATTGTTCATCAACACATTAGCAAAGGAGCGAGAAGAATCAGTAGGCTTGTTCATGAGTACAGAAGCGAACGTCCGCGTAGGGGGCTGCGCCGCCGTGATGGGAGAAGTCATCTTTCCTCAGTCAAACCCCGCAAATTCGCGTAGGGGGCTGCGCCGCCGTGATGGGAGAATAATATGCTTTTTTCATAGGAAAAATTCACATCAATAATCCGAACTATTAACGTTCTTCTAATAATAATCCCAAATATGAGTAATTCTAGAATTTCGAATTTATTTATATCTAGTTCTTTTATAATGTTTATGCATATTATTGTGATGTTAATTTTAAGTATGAGTAACTAATTTCATATAGGGTTTGAATTGGGGCTAGGGTTCATGGGTTCTTGAGGGTGTGAATTTAGTTCTTTAAAATTCAATTAATTTTCTGGAAAATTGTATAAGATTACTCTTAATTGTCTATATGAATTTGATCACCTCATATATGAATCTTTAGATTTAATTCAATTCTTGTCTATGAGAGTTTGAGTTAAATTAGCTTGGGTCCTATACAAACAATCTGATCTTAGAAGTAAGTTAAGATTGTGGAAATTTGATTTAATTCTTGTCTTTGAGAATTTATTTCATTTTCTTTCCAGGAATTAATGAAAATTAATTTACTTAATTCTAATCCCTAAAGAACATCCAGAACCCGAACCATCCAATTTGAACCCTGTTTTAATATTCTGAATCAATTTACTTATTTTGTTCATCTATTTATTTTTGCACTTGCTATTAGTTAATTTTTTTTTATCACCCATAAAAAAGAAATTATTAGGAAAGATTACCATGACTTGTGCTAGCCTGTGATCACGGACTGTATTTAAAACTTCCTTTTTGCCACTCCTTGAGAGACGATTCTCGTGATCTGGTTATTCTTCGGATTAGCCAACTACGTTTTACTCACTAAAAAAATACACCGATCAAATGGCGCCGTTGCCGGGGAGTGGCACGGTTGTTTGTTAAGTACTTTTATGTGGAATAGGTAAAAGCAAGTCGGTGAGACTTTCTATTTTTTTCCTGTTATTTGTTTTTGTTTTTGGTGTTCTTTGCACGTGAACTAAGCTGCAGGAACAAGTGTATGTGCACTCGCTCCTCGGGGGAACAAGATTTAATTGAAGGGTATTCTAATCCTGAACGCTTATTCCGAGGAAGAGCTAAAAGGCGTTTGCTAGAAGACTTGAAGAAAATGGCTGATCAGACAACTCTAGAGACGCTGACGCCTAATTATGTGGCGAGAAATAGCATTGGGGCACCCACCATTGAGGCCAACAATTTTGAAATCAAGCCGGCCATGATTCAGATGCTTGCTAATAATCCATTTTGTGGATACGCCCATGAAGATCCAATGGATCATATTGAGAGCTTTATTCAAACTTGTGCCACATTCAAATATAATGGAGTGTCCAGTGAGACAGTCAGGCTGACTTTATTCCCATTCTCATTGAGAGACAAAGCTTCACGGTGGCTCCGTAGCTTTCCAAACGGGCACTTTGATACATGGGAGAAGCTTCATCAAGCATTTATGCAGGAGTATTTTCCTCCCTCTGCCGCTATCAAGGTTCAGACAGAAATTCTTAATTTCAGCCAAGCTCCGACCGAAACTTTCAGTGAAGCATGGGATAGACTGAAGACGCTGAAAAGGAAGTGCCCGGAAACATTCATGAATGCTGCCACAATTATGTGCAGATTTTATAATGGGTTGCGGCTGGAGTATATGAGAGAACTTGACCGGGCATCTCAAGGGGGTATGTTTCTGAAATTATCCCCACAGGCAGAAGAGCAAATAATTGAAAACTTGGCTTCAAATGACAAGTATTGGTATGCGGGTAAAGAGAGAGCTCAAAATCCACCCGGTTTGCTCAATCTTGATCCCATCACTGCACTTACAGCGAAGATTGAGGGGCTGGTAGTGGAAGTGAAAGACTTGAAGGCGCAGACCTCTCAACAGCAGCAAGTTCATAATATTGGGGCATATCAGCCCTCTTATCCTATGTATTCTGCCCCACTTCCTATTCGAGCAAGCTATCCAAGCCCAACCGGCCAAGAACTCGCTTTATCTTGCGAGATGTGCATGGGAGCTCACCTCACTCACACATGTCCTCTTTATGTTCAGAATCAGGCATCACCAGTGATAAAACTGGTATACTCGTGATTCTTTTTTTTTTTAATATGAAAAGTTGACCACATTCTGGATTACAGGACTGATTCAAGCTCTAGGGCCTGGGAGTTTATCTCATTACTGTGTACTCAACTCTCACACAGGGTGATTCGCGAGATGAGCAGAGCCCCATTTCAGGGATGAAATTCTCGACACATGAAGTGTAACCCCATTACAAGAATCAGTTACCTGCTTAGCATGAAGTTATCCCGATATGCTTATAAAGCAGAGCTCCTTACGGAGTAAGGATTTTCAACACCTGGCCAGTCAAGGAATTATTGATGACGAACAAGTGAATCACTAGTAACACCGAATTTAATCAACACAAATCAAACCATCCAACATGCCAACATCTCCCAAGAATATACACACCACCCCGATGATTACACCATTACTTAGGACATGTTTACTTCACCGGTTATTAAACGGTGCTTATTAAGACCCGTGTTAATAAGCGGCGCATAAAATAAACAATGTTGTAAGACCGTGTTTACTTCAAACGGTTTAAAACACCGCTTAACATTAAAATGTCCAAAATAACCCTATACATATATATACACACAAACATTCATGAACACAAGTATATAATATAATATGTGTACCCATACCCCTAACCCCTTACCCACCCTACCTTATCCCGACCCCACCCACCGCCTACCCCTACCCCTACTCTACCTACCTGACCCCACCCTACCTACCCGACCCCACCCTAACCTGTCCCCACCCTACCCTACCCCCGACCCCATAGGCCGGTGGGGTCGGGGTAGGTGGGCTAAGGGTAGGGTGGGGGTCGGTTAGGTAGGGTAGGGGGGGTAGGGTAGGTGGGGTCGGGGTAGGTGGGGTAAGGGTAGGGTGGGGGTCGGTTAGGTAGGGTAGGGGGTAGGTAGGGTGGGGTCGGGGTGGGGTAAGGGTAGGGTGGGGTCGGGGTGGGGTAAGGGTAGGGTGGGGTCGAGGTAGGGTGGGGTCAGGGTAGGTGGGGTAAGGGTATGGTGGGGGTCGGTTAGGTAGGGTAGGGGTGGGGTAGGGTAGGTGGGGTAAGGGTGGGGTCGAGGTAAGGTGGGGTCAGGGTAGGTGGGGGTGGGGTAAGGGTAGGGTGGGGTCGGGGTAGGGTGGGGTTGGGGCAGGGATAACAATAGGTTACGGGCAAGGGGTAAATTCGGAAACTGAAAAAGCTTAAAGTGCCGCTTAATTAATACATGGGGGGGGTGGTATGCTTAATAAGCGGCACTTTAAGCACCTCTTTCGGTTAGTAAGCGGCTTTTTAAGCAGTGTGCGTGTTTACTTCACCTGTCTTACTAACCTAACTGTGACTTTAGCAGTGAAGTAAACACCTCCTTATTCTTTCCAAGAAAGATGGAGGAGATGGAAAATTACAAAAGAAAATAAAGATTAACATGTTACCTCTGTTGCGTTGCTAAACCAGAAAAAACCTCGTGCACCTCAAAATGTTGTTGGACAGAATAACCTCATCACCAAATGTCATGCACAAGCAACAACCAAACCTCCCCACACTTAGGGGTGACATCGCTCTCGAGGTCAAAGAAAAGATTTAAAACAACAAAACAGGGGTAAGTTAAAGAATAAAATGATTTTCAGCCCGACAACACATCATAATCAGGATAATAGTAATGAGAGACGATACTCGTGGTCTGGTTATTCTTCGGATTAGCCAACTACGTTCTACTCACTAAAAAAAATACACCGATCAGGCACACTGTAAAGTTTACATTGACCACAAGAGCCTAAAGTACATTTTCACCCAAAAGGAGCTCAACATGAGACAAAGACGTTGGCTCGAGCTCATCAAAGACTACGATCTGGAGATACAATATCACGAGGGGAAGGCCAATGTAGTGGCCGACGCCTTGAGCCGGAAACCGGCTCACTCCTGTAGAGCAACATGGATCCTCCCTAACGAGCTGTATCGGGACTTTCAAAAACTAGGCTTGGAGGTACGGGATTTCGGAGAAGTAGATCGGGAAACGCGGTTACTCACCATGACCGTTACCCCATCTATTTTCGATGAAATTAGAGCAGGGCAGCCTGGAGATATAAAGTTGGACAGAATCCGAGCTGGTATGACGAATGGCGTAAACGGACCATTCGAACTGCACGAAGATGGTAGCATTCGACACAAAGGAAGGTGGTGTGTCCCGATGAAATGTGAAGAACTTAAGAAGAAAATTATGGAGGAAGGGCACAACACGCCTTACTCGGTGCACCCTGGAGGCGACAAGCTCTACAAAGACATCAAAAAGAACTTTTGGTGGCCAAAGATAAAGAAGGAGGTAGCTGAATTCGTGGCTCGATGCCTAAACTGCCAGAAGGTGAAAGCCGAACGTTGCAAGCCCAAAGGGCTCGTTCAACCTTTGGAGGTACCAAAATGGAAATGGGATTCTATCTCCATGGACTTTGTTGGGGGCTTACTGTTGGTCCCGTTTAAGTTGGTAACAGTCTAGAGGGGGGGGGGTGAATAGACTGTTATAAGTTTTTCAACTTTTCTCTAAGTCAGAGTTGACTTATCAGAGAGGGTCGAGTTCTGAAGATCAGAACTGGGTCTTGCAGCGGATAAGAATTCCGGGTAGCCTCAAAAATACTAAGGCAAGTGCCTTTCTGATAACTCTTAGAACAAGATCTGCTGAACACAGATTCCAAGTTCTTAAGGGTTAAACAGTTGAAGTCCTAAGTGCAGTAAAGTAAATGACACCGGGGTTTTTATAGTGGTTCAAGGAACAACGCGTTCCTCTAGTCCACTGTTCCACTAAGCTTGTAAAAGTCACAAATTACACAGCCTTAGCTCCCTAGCACTTAAGAAGCTCTCCACGTCTTCTTCAAGTCTAGTTGCCACCCAGGATGCAGTTCCACGTCCTGATGGCTGGTCCTTTCACTCAGCTTCCCGGAAGTATCACCACTTCACTACTGCAGTTACTTGGACGCCCTTCTTTGCAGAAGATGTTTGAAAAAACAGAGTTTTTCCTCCAACTTGCTTCGTTACAAATGATGTTTGATGAAGTTCTTGAAGGGTTGAAGAACTGGATGAACTTTGCTGTGTGTTGGGATTGAAGGATATGGATATTTGAATCTTCCCAACGTAAGCTTGTCTTGTTGATGATTGTAGAGTTTGAATCTCAAGAGAGCTTTTTGAATGTTGAGGTGAGCAAAGTTGTCTTCTTGTTCTTCAGCGTGTAGCTTATATACTGGGGTTGTCTGCCCGTTGGAGGAGGAGACAACTGCATTAAATGCGCGTACTGTTGACTTGACCGGCCAATTTGGAAGCTTTCTATTTTTATAATATATCTTCCAGATTTCTTGGTCAATCATTTGCAATCAATCCACAGCGTATCAGGCTCATTTATTGTGCATTTAAGAGCTTTCCTTTCATGCACAGTCTTCTAGCCGTTAGGGGATTTCCCGTTAGTTTCACAGCCGTTGGAAGTTGCCTTGAAATTCTTCTAAGTGTTAGTCGGGCTCTGATCGGGCTCTTCTGATATGTTGGATTCTGATGGCTCTCTGATGAGTAGTATTCTGATGGCTTTCTGATGTTTAACTGAGCTTCAACTCTGGCACCAACTCTGATAGGTCCGTTGATGAGTACTTCTGATTGCATCTCTCATAGTGCAATTCTGATGGTACTTCTGATGAGTCTCTGAAGAGCAACTCTGATTCTTTTCTGATGAGCAACTCTGAAAGCAGTTCTCATGGAGCAGCTCTGATCAGATCCACAAAGAGCAACTCTGATAGTCGAATATACTAGTACTTACAACTGAAAAATTCTAACACATAAAATCTAAATGGGGGTACTCTAAAATTCTAATCTAATTATCCTAGCATCATCAAAATCTAATTACATTTATTCCTTACAATTTCCCCCTTTTTGATGATGCCAAAACCCTTAAACTATTTCCAGAGAAGTGCCTTTCACCATGAAAGAATATAAAAAGAAATAAACTTTCATTTAAAATCTTGGTGGGCAACTTTGCATAGGAGAATAGTAAGAGTACAATACAGTCAATCAAAACATACATAAATATAAAAAGCAGTAAAGAACACAAAATTTGAAAGTGCCATCCAACTTAGAGGCAAGATGGTTGTTTTATTGATCAGAGAGAAGTATAGGAGTTACAAAAGATAGACTGAGAGTTTAGAGATCTTCCTCATCTACCTGTACTTCTGCTTCATCAATTTTCTTCAAAAGTGCATTTACCTTTGCTCTGATAGAAGCTAGATTCCTTGGATTCTGACACTCATGCCAGTGAGGTTCGAGTCTGCAATCTAGGTAGTTTCTGATGGCTTCTGAGATGTCCTTGCCAGGGATCACTTTCATTCGCCACCAATCTTCTGCTTCTTGCATTGAGCCACCGTGATTTATGATAATCAGCCCATCTTTATCCAGAATAAGGTTCTCTTGTTGTAGAGGGGTCATATGCTTCTTCATTTCTTGGAACTGGGCGGCATCAGGCTTGACTAAATCACTGTTGAGCCATTGGGCAAGAGTTAAGGTGGAGGCTGTCTTCTTTCCTTTCTTGGATTTTGGAGGAGTTGGTCTTTGAATACCAGCAGCAATTTGCTTCTGCCTAGCTCTCTCAAAGTATATTGTAGGATCAGGAGTACCAGAGATAGGAGTCAGAGCTCTGGTGCTTGATCCTTCTGCAGTTCTGATAGCTCTGACAGGTTCTCTGATAGCTTCCCCCTTTTTGGCATCAGCAAGATCGCCAAGTAGGAGTCCAATTTTGGAGAATTCTGTAGCATGATTTTCTTTAATGGCTTCCAGAGCCCCAGGAAGTGTCTGGGTTACAGAGGCCAGTCCTTCTATCAGCTCCTTCTGCTTATCAACTGCAGATTGG